CCTCGTTTAAAGTTTCCCGCGCTTTTTTTTCTTTTGACATTTTTGTAACTCGTTGAAAGTGGTTGAAAGTTTTATATATCGTAGGATTGGGCAAAAACTACGGATATATCAAAATATCGATATTTTTCTGAAATAATCGATCTAAATCAGCGGTATTTTTTTCCGCGATATATCGGCTTACGATAATTTTTTTCTGATATCAAATTCGTATCAAAATCGATATATTTTTAAAGTTCTGCTGTCTGCTTATGCATCACAACATGTATTTCTTAAATTTAGTAAAAGAGAAGGTAGGCAGTAGGCTGTATGAGTTACAAAATTACAGTCTATGACCTGCTTGTCTTTTTTGTTTGTCTATGACAATGAAACTGCTTGTTGGTATTAGAGATGGACGTTTAAACGAAAAGCACTTAATTAACTATGCTTTTCTAAATAAGTGCATAAGCGCATTTTCACTTAGAAGAAAAGTATGCTAATGCTTATTGTACGTCCCGCCATCTATCAAAATATAACTACTAGCTTCAATCAATTTTTCTGTTTCGGCATTTTTTCTATTAGAGGGCAGCACTTTACATAAATGCACAAAATGTGGAAGTATATTGAAAATACTATAAGTCCTGATGCTAGTGAATCTGAGAAAGATGACGACTAACAAGCGAAATCAGAATTGATACTTATTATCGCTCCATCAGAACTCAAACAGATTAAGCAATGCAATACAGCAAATTAAGTCTGGGAGAAGTTGAAGTCCATTTATGCAAGTAAGGGACCTGCACGTAAAGCATCCTTACTGAAGCAATTAATCCTAACAAAACTCGAAGAAAAAGATGTTCAAACACATCTGAATAACTTCATAGACGTTGTTGACAAACTATCGAATATGGACGTACATTCCAATGAAGATTTGCTGACAGTAATGTTGCTTTATAGTCTTTCTGCTGAATACGACAATTTCAGAGTGGCTATAGAATCACGAGACGTTCTTCCTAAGTCAAAGGAGCTTAAGACAAAAATTATTGAAGAATCTGATGCGCGTCACAACAGAAACTTAGTTAATAATGAAGTTAATAAGTTAATAATAATGCCTGATTTCTCACAACAAGAGGATGCACTGTATGCATCTTGTAGAGTTTGCAAACGAAGAGGTAACATCTTCAAACGCAAATATCATAAAATTTGTACAAATTGTTTCCAAACAAATAAAAACAAAGAAAAGCTAAACAAGAGGTACGACAACTCATTGAAGAACCATTTCACCACTCAATGCCTCCTTATACGTAACGGGAATTCTGAAAATAACAATTGGGTGTTAGACAGTGGTTGCACATCTCATATGACCTATCAACGAGATTTATTTAAAGCTTTAGAGAGTATATCAAGAAAATTAAACTTTGCAACTGAAGATTTTACTGCAGATATTAAAGAAAAGATCCTTGAGAGACAGATCTGCAATCAATGTTCCTAAACGCTTTGATGATTTTATAATGGCTGCAGCTGAAGAAATAGAAAATCTTCATAAGCCTTAAGAACCTAAAACATTTAAAGAATCTCCAGATAGAGTTAAATGGCAAGAAGCCATGCTCAGTGAAATTAATTCACTAAATGACAATCAAACCTGGGAACTGATGGATTTACCTAAGGGACGAAAAGCCCTGCCTTGCAAGTGGGTGTTTAAAGTAAAAATGAATCCTGACGGTTCCGTAGAACGATATAAAGCCAGAATGGTTATTAAGGGTTATTCACAACAACTTGGAGTGGATTACGATAAAACTTTTAGGCTAGTGGTACGTCTGAGTACAGTACGAACGTTGTTAGCAATTAGCGCTCGAGAAAACTTAATGTTACACCAGTTTGATGTCGTTCCTTTATGGTGAAGTTCAGGAAGAGCTTTACATGAAACAACCTGAAGGATATCAAGATGGTACAAAACGAGTTTGTAAGTTGAAACGCAGTCTTTACGGATTAAAGCAAGCACCTCGATGTTAGAATACATGTATAACCGAATTTTTAAAGAAATCTGGGTTCCAACACATTAAAGCTCGTCTTTATACGAGAGTTAGAGGAGAATCCAAAGTGTTTCTTGGCCTTTATGTCGATGATGGACTTGTGGCATACAACACAAAAGTAGCAGGAGAAGAATTTATTAAAGAATTAACTACGAGATTCAAGATAACAACTAAACCTGTTCCTTAACTTTCTTGGAATGGAAATAAATGTGTGCAAAGACAAAGAAATTATCTTATGTCAAAAGGTTTACACAAAGAAAGTTTTATAAAAATACGGCATGTCTAATTGTAAATCTGTACCAACGCCGATTATCAAAGGAAATGAGATGGGAGAAGAAGAGCATGTAAATGCAAACTTCCCGTATAGGCAAGCCGTGGGCTCCTTAGCATATTTAGCAGTAGGTAAAAGACCCGATATTTCATATGCTGTGGGTGTAGAATCTCGTAATTTGGAGTTACCTACAAAATCAGATATACTGCGCATCAAGCATATCTTTCGCTATTTAAAAGGCACACAGAATTATGGTCTTATTTATACACCCAAATCACCGTCATACTTAGTCTGTTACAGTGATGCAAACTACGCTGGAGACCAAACAGATGGAAGGTCAACGTCTGGCTCATTGTGCTTATTTTCAGGAGCAGCAATTAGTTGGAAAAGCCAAAAGCAATCCACTGTGATTTCTTCAACAGAAGCGGAAATCATAGCAGCCAGTGAAACAGCGCAAGAAATATTGTGGCTTAATCGCTTACTAAATGGTCTAATTCAAACGGACAAACCTGTGCTAAACTTAGACAATGAGTCAGCTATAAAACTTACACACAACCCGCAATATGAGTATCATAAGCGTACGAAACATATAAAGTTGATACTCTTCTTTATTCGAGAGTGTGTGTGTAATGAAGAGTTTATTGTCAAACAAGTGACCTCAGAGCTACAGCTAGCTGACATGTTCACGAAACCTCTTTTTAGCCCAAGGTTGCAGGAGTTAAGCAGACGGATTGGGCTGAGAAATTTAGATGTCTAACATCTAAAAAAAGGAACGAAGGATGTGAAGTATATACATACCAAAGACAAGTATGAAGATACGTGTTCCTAGTTCTAAGTTCTTAACATGTTTTAGTTGCTTAGTAACTTGTTGTTATTTTTATAAGAAGACTTTCTGTTATGTTTTCTTTAGTCAGTAAATATTTTATTCGAATTCAATAGATATTCTCATTTATTCTTAACAGTTAGTTTAAAAAAAAGGGTTTAAACAATAAGCAGTTTTTTAAAACGCTTATTAAAAATCGTACAACGAAATAACGCTTAAAAATTTTAAGCAGTTATTTCCACTTCTAGTTGGTATCACGAGAGTGCTTCTGATGTCAATAACAAATAAATACTGGTTTGTTTGAATAATGTACTTTTTGTTGTGTTGATGACGTTGTTTTCTTGGCTATATACTTATTTTGAATAATAAAACTGATGTCAAAACAGCCAGGTATTTGCTTTAAAATTTCGAATATTTCGTAAATTTTTATAGATAGTCGCTTATTACGTAGAATATATCGATATATCGATATTTTTTGTCAATATTTATCAATACATTTGATAAATATCGCTATGATTTATTGATTTTTCATTAGCTCATCCCTAATATATCGAAAACCCGATATATATTGATGCCTCAAAATATCGATACGTATTGAATTCGAAGAAACAGTGATATCTAAAGAACCAACATATTGAAACGTAATATCGAATGAAATACTAAGAGTGCATGTACATCAGCTGCCCATATTTTAGAATCAAACGCCATTTACATAGGTTTTTTACAAGCAGGATTTTATAATTTACTTAAGACCCATAAAATATATCGATATATCAATTTTGTAAAGCGATATATCAATATCGACTGTAATTGATGTATATCGATTATACTTGATAAATAATAAATTCGATATATCGATATTTTTATGAAACTGCATCTCTAACTACACTAGGGATATAACGATTTATCTAAAAGCTTTTCATTAAACTTATATCGAAACCAAATATCGAATCATCCAAAAAGTAATTGTATATCAGTTAACCAAATAACATCCAACAGCTGATTTTCATATGTGACTTAAGTAACATTTACAAAAAGCCAAAATTAGTACCCATCGTGTTCAGGAATTATTTTATAAACCTGATTCTTTTTTTTGAAAGTACTTTTTTATGTATTGTTTGTGTTTATTTAATTTTGTATAAAAATTATAACGTGGTTCTCGAAATAAATTTACCTACCTAGATTCAATTATTCTAATTAATATATAGTCCTAACGGTTTTGTAATAAAGTAGCTGTAACACACAAATTATTATAAAGAGACAGATATGAAGAATCGCAATTTTTTCCGCTTTTTGTCGAAATAAACATCGAATTTATTACATGAAAATTAAAATGAATGAATAGTCATGATTACTAATATGAATGTAGTAATGACTATTTTACAAAAAAAAAAATCTCGATAATAGAGTATATTGATTATTGTTGACCAAGCTTGCCCACCTATACCTACCAACCATAGACTTCTGACGTTTAAGCGATTTTTCCTTTTTCTTCCGTCTTTTTCATTCGAGTTGTGCTTTGCTGTTGAAGATTTTACAATGGTGCGTTGCGTTGATTTAATTTATTCCATCGAAATGTATTGTGTTAATCACTTTATCAAATTTGTAAATATTCCGTAAAACGTTGAATCTTTTTTTGGTGAAAACCCAGGTTTAAATATTTTGTCACCAAATGTAATGTAGGTTATTTATTTTATTAATTATAAAAACTACCGCATAATCTGATTAAAATATGTTTCGTTTGTAAATAACTGTTCCTATCTTCCTGATATTATATCTATTAAGTGGTGCAGTTGTCCCAAATGCCAATTTTTATGCAATGAAACATGAAAAATAAGTTTTTAGCAATTGGGTACTTACATTACCAATGAGTGCCACGGGGAGCTTTACCATCGCTATCATGTTTTGTGTATGTTTACAGGGTAAAGTAAAATGTTCCGAACTTCGTACGAAGGACAAAAAAGAGCTCTTCAAGCAACTTGAAGAGTTAAAAACGGAGCTTACCAACCTAAGGGTAGCTAAAGTTACTGGAGGTGTTGCATCAAAACTATCAAAAATGTAAGTTGTGTTTAAGTTAACAATATTGTCGTGTTTTTACTATAGCAAATAGAATTTCTGATAATGCTTTCATAAATATTACCATATTGTAAATAGCATTTACAACTTTTTAATTTAAAGGGTACTATGTATGTACTGATTATTCTATAAATCCTAGGTAAAAGTTTGATGTGTTAGACACTTCTTTAATATTTACTCAATAGGACTAAAATTACAAAAATATAGAATGTAGTGATTTTAGCACTTTTTTATTATTCGAGTATACATATATATTATAAAAAGCAACGATAAGATTTGATAGTTTGTTTGTATTGAATAGGCTCTGACACAACTGAACTGATTTTTAAAAATCATCACAGGAAGTTTTAATGAGGTTCATGTTGGTGACCGTTGCACAATTAAAATTCTTTTAGGAAGTAATAAATACTATTAAAATAACTTAAAAAGATAATAATTTTTTTTTTTGAGAAAAAAGGATTTTTGAGGAAGGAAGGAAAAGGAAACGATTGTTAGCATATTAGTACAATACTATCAATAATAAAAAATATTTGCCACAATTTAAATGACCAAGTTGAAAATTTCATTCTTTCTGTACTTATAACAATAATATTTATTTCAGCCGTGTTGTACGGAAAGCTATAGCTCGAGTATACATAGTTTATCATCAGAAAATGAAAGTGAATCTTCGTAATCACTATAAAAATAAGAAGTACAAGCCTTTGGACTTAAGACCTAAGAAGACTCGTGCAATGCGCAAGGCCCTTAGCAAACATGAAGCAAAGATCAAAACAAAAAAAGAGATCCGGAAGAAATCCATCTTTCCTCCAAGAGTGTATGCTGTTAAAGCTTAAAATTAAAATTTAAGATAAATCAACCAGATTTGTTTTAATTTAACATTCAATGATGTTTGAATGCAACCATCAAATTACAAATTTACTTTAAAATCGAATTGATTCTCCTTCATACTTTGTTCAGGCTTAGAAGTGACGGTTTGCACTACAACAACAATATACCAACAAACACAAACAAGATACAAATGTTTCTGCATTCTTAATTTTCATCATAATACATTATTATAAAACAAAAGTCAAGTAAAAGTAGTTAATAAACTGCCAGGGGCTACATTTGTTAATAAACAAATATAGCCCCTGTCTGCCCGAAATTGTGTGCTCATTCGTTACTGACACAACTAGATGTTGCCCAAATCTTTCCGAGTCACTCGGTTCATTTGTGTCAGTGAGCACCACAGATCAATTCAGAGCAACTTTTAAGTGCATCTGGACTGAGTGATCCTTTTTTAGTTTTCAAGAAAACCAAAATGTCCATTTAGTAAAAATTTGACAAAATTCTTAATCGAAAAAAAATATTTATCATTCTTATGCGGTCCAAGATATTGCCCAATATGTGGAACACTCAATTCAGGCATTGACAAAATGGCTACAAGCCGAATCTCAGGAAATACACTGAATAAATTTTCATATCAAAAATTTGTACATAATTTGTCACATTATTTTGCAAAAAACCAAGATACTTCAATGTAAATCCAGGATTCTACGATAGTTTCAATGGATCACTCAATCCTGACGCATTTATCACTTATGCTAGCTGAAGTCGAAACAGATGGTGTGAAGGTGAAATTTTAAGCGATAACGGAGGCGAGTTTGATAATAGCAAAGTTCGGACTATTTTACCTCAACCTCAATCGCATCATGGTATTGATGGTGAATCCACAATGGTCTTAGGGACTGCCATTTTACAAATACAAGTATGGATGGTCACTATCATTCAGCTAGTGCCTTTATTGAAAGTGGATCACAGGTTTCTATAATTACAGAAAGCTTGGCACAACAATTAAGATTGCTTCGCTCTCATTCAAGTTTCAGGTATGGTCTGGGTGATTGAAACTGAAAGAGTTTATCGGCCTGTGGTATGAGCCCGTAGGAATCGCTCGCACTATTCATGCGGGCCCTATCGAACAATGTAAATACCTATGCCATTATAAAAGTAAACAGATAATATGAAAACTTCTAATGGGCGAACCCTTTACCTGTTGCATCATCGCTTCTAAATAGGTAGGTAATGTGAGAGCAGCTCGCTTCCCCCCCCCTCCAACTTTAATGATTAGAATGCGTAAAAAATGTGGAGACCCTAATGAATATTTTCAAACATGTTGCAAAAAAAAAAAAATACCGAGGTATTCCAAAATTTTTGTAGACTTTATTTAATTTGTAGTGCGAACATCTCGGGTTCTGTGCAGACGTCACAGGCGAGTCGGAGGCCAAAACACGTAGTTAATGAAAAATATTTGGTCATTTATTAACGTATATTAATTTTGTTTCAGATTTATTTTAGTTTTGACTTTTATTTTTATGTTATTGTGTTAAATATAATATCACAATCATGAAACTTCTCAATCGTGGAGTTGCCAACTTAGAGCTTTGAGCATGAAACTAAGAGTGCTCGGTCAAGTACTTTAATAGTTTTTTCAATGCAGTTGCTCATAAAGCGCTATTTTTTTAATCCATTGTAAACACCGAAAATGAGTCTTTAAACACGTGTTAAATAAAAATGTACTGAAATCCTTTACTGCACATGTGCTTAAAAGTATTTTTTTAATTTTTTTGGCCGAGCACCAAAGATATTTAAAAAAAAATGGATGAAAATATGTCAAACTTTAGAGGCAAAAGTATTTCAAGGAGCCTAGAACGAATATTTTCAAATAAAATGTAAGACACGAAAACATGTTCAAATACCACGTTTAATTTTAACAAGTAATTTTTACATTTATATTTGTTTTATTTCCTCGCATAAAGCATTGAAAAATGTTGTAAGAAACTTGAGCGTAAAAGGTTTTACGAATTCGTGCTAATTCAATTTGGCCCTTATTCGTAAAACCTTACTTTCCGTACTCGTATCTTAAATAACTATTTTATATTTAAATTATAACGCCAACTCATCGATTTGTCTGGTTTTCGTTCATAAAAAGATATTTCAAAATCGAAGAGGGTGGCGCTGCCAGCCTTACGGACACGTGGAAAATATTGTGATCTCATTCTTTCACTTACTTATTCGCTCGCACAGAGAAAGCATTATATGCACTATCTGTTTAAATAAAATAATTTATTGAGAAAAACGCATTACCATTAATTATCAAATCATTGTCCGTTCTGTCATTTCATCCGTAGGGATTGCGTATTTGCACAATTCCTATATTATGACTCAATACCCAAATTCAGTAACGAAATTGAAAACTTCAGAGGCTGCCACCTCCGTGCAGACCCATGAATCGGCCATATTTATTTATTTATTAAGTTAGGACACAAAACAGTTCACAACCAAATTGAGTTTAATTTACAGCAATTCAAGTAATTTATAAACTAGATTGTAAACCAAATCCTTGTGGCCTTATCATGACAATTATAAAGGTTGCATAATAGCATAATATATTTTTCATGCATAAAATAAAGAATAAAATTAGATTACATTAAAACTAATTACAATAAATTTACAAATCAATCCCAAAATTATACTTAATCAGAAACTACAACATCGAAATTAATAGAATAACCAATAATTACACATTCAACATTATTCAATAAGCACATCGGTAATACATCGCTTAAACAGACCAAGGCGATCATTCATAATGTCCAAGCTTTCCTGTTTCCCCGCTAGATCATTATATAGACGACACATACGGATAATTGGGTTATAATAGGACGTATTATTTCTGTAAACGTGCAGCAAGAAGATGTTTGGATGGCGAACTCTGAAACGCGTATTGAAGTTGATCAGAGATAGTAATTCCGGAGAATCAACTCGCGAATGGATAATAAATTTATTTTCTCAATCCACCGGTCTCCACACTGGCACTTGCCCATGGCACAGAATTCTATGGTTTGTCCCCACTAAGATATTCCACGCAGACCCCGCTATTATGTATGTCTACATAATCGCGAAATTGTGTACTCAGCTTAATTTAACACATCCGAAAATAATGGGTAAATAATACACAAATAAATTAAGTATAAAATATTATTTCTTGATAAATTACCTATTAAAAATATATATATTATAATTCTTCGTGTTTTGTTTTCTTTCGGTGTGGATAACACCAGAATTCCGATGGTAAGCCTTTTACGTCTCTCTCTCTTTTGACGAATGCAGAAAATGATGAGACACAATTACCAATAAAATGATTTGCCTGTCCGAGTATTGCTAAGTCTAAGTGAGGGTTGGATGGTTGAAATCTGGTAATGGATACTTCCAAATCCTTTAAAGCCACATTTAAATCTTCAATCATATGGTTTGAGTCGGAAGCCACAAACACATATTTAATATTATTAAATTTTTTGACTGCTCTCTTCACTTGCCTGAAAAAAGTTAGTTTATCTTATAAGTATAAGTCATGTGTTCGAATCCGTAACCTTTCGACTTTCTCTTAAATAAAACGACTGCTCTAGTATATCTTATGAAATCATTCATACATTCTTCAGTCGCCGGTTTACTTCATACTGAACCATTTTGGTTGTATAGTGAAATCATTTGTAATGCTATACAAAACTGTCAAATTTCTCCACTTGACTTTACCTTAATGCATTGTTGGTAAAGTTCAAAATCAATTGAGTAAATTTGACATATTGCGATAGCCTGAGGAGCAGCCGTGCTTACGTTTACATTACGTTACGTACGTTTGTATTAAGTTAAAACGGAAAATGACACACACAAAAATGATGTGAAACAAGACAGCGACTTTGGGTATGTTCCGATATACACTGCGAGCACTGCGCAGTGGTCTTACTGCTGAAAAATCCGTTCCGTTATGGACTGCCAGTACACTGCTACAGTACCCTAGGGAAATTCATGACGTCATAAATTGCCGCCATATTTGTACTGTGAGCACTGGAGATTCCGAGGCAAGGTGCTCGCAGTGCTTTTGATCACGTGATCAGTCGAAACAGAATCAGAAAATGATAAATAAACAAAAAAAAAAAATACTTACGTTTATTATAAGATGGATAAATAATTTTTTTTATACAATTTTCCAATTTTATAATATTTTCTTTTGAAAAGAGGGAATCTTTATATTTATTCACCTTGCATTAACAAATTTGAAAATGGCGCCAAAAAATAGGATTAACAGTATATTGGACTGCGTTCCGTTTTAAAAAGTCACCAGTATAACTAGCTATAAAGGAACGGGCTTCCAGAATACTAAATTGACGTCATACTGTTCAGTGGTCGCAGTGTATATCGGAACATACCCTTTGTTTTACACTATGTATCACACATGTGTTTGGTTCCATTGTTTCCTCTAAGCCTTAAAGCTCGGCGTGACTGTCTAATGGTCGTAATGTTAAATACGCTTATTTTACTGTAAGTGATTAACGAGATGATTTTTTTTACTTACTTTATTATTTCTGTTTTCTTAGGTAAACACATTGATGCAGTAAGAGGACCCTTTTCGTTTTTATATCCGACACACTGGGGCGCAGCAAATAGTATAGGGCTGTCTTGAACGTGTTGACATGCTTTTACCCAGTCTTGTCCATTTCTCAAATGTAATCCAAGGAACCCCCCGCCACTCATATTATTCTTGATAAATTGCTTTGATTTACTAGTTATATCAACGCTCCACTTAAGATACTTATGTAAATGTACGTTTTCTCTTTGAACTGGAAAACTGGCAGGAGCACCTAAAACACAATGAAACCTATTTAAAAATCATCACAGAGAGTATGTATCTTTTATCACAAATGTTAAACTATCGGAATAATCGCTAAAAGCGAGATCGCTACCATATTGGTCAGTGGCGAATTTACCAGTGGCTGAATTTGGCTGCAGCCTTTTTTTTGTCTTACAGAAATAAAATAAAAAAATCATTTCAATTTAATTAAATATTTAATTTAATTTAATATCTGATGAAAACTGTATTTTGTTATGTTATCAAGGGTAAACTACTGATTCTATTTCGATAAAATTATATAAGATAATGGGACGCATTAAGCTGTCAAATAAAAAAGAATTTGGAAAATCGAGTCATAATTGGCCAAGTATTCGAGTAACAAACACACAAAAAAAGCATACAGTCGAATTGAGGACCTCCCCTTTTTTGAAGTTAATTTAAAAAATACGTCATTTCTTATAGTCTTAAATGTTTAGTTCAAAAACAAAAATTCACTAAAAAGTAACAAAATAATTACGAACCTATTCTAGTTCTAGTTTCTATTCAAGGTATGTACTCACGCTCAAGCGTTTACCAGGTACGAAGACCCACTTAAACGTCACATCTAACTCAACGCATACAAATGACAAACAAACAATTAACGCCTAAGCAATACTTAAAAATTATTACGATAATATAATGCACAATTATTGTTATTTTTGGAGTCGGTGTTAGCTACAATTTCGTATTCTCGCAGCATTTTTTGTCGTATTAAAGTTCATTTGTAAATAGGTTTAATTAAGTATGGGTGATTCGTTGTATCAAGGTCGTTAGACATTGTCACAGTAGATTTAATATTGTTGTATAAAAGTTAATTTGATCTTTGCTTTTCTTTATCTCTAAGTTTATGTAAGGTTTTTTGACAGTTTAGTCGTATTTCCTTGGCTGACACCGACTCCAAAATAACAATAAATATTTTGATAATTGTTTGTTTGTCATTTGTACGTGTTGAGTTAGATGTGAAGTTTAAGTGGGTCTTCGTGCCTGGTAAACGCTTGAGCGTACATACCTTGAATAGAAAAAACTAGAATAACCAACAAAAAAACCGACTTAAAAAAAAACTAAAAAGTAACAAAATAATTACGTTCATTTTGTTACTTTTTAGTGTATTTTTGTTTTTTTTTTAAGTAGGTTTTATTTGATAAAATTTTATTTTATTTCTTGATTTTTAGTGAATCTGTAGTTAGATAACTCATTTTATTTTTTGTTTCATTTTACATCGATAAATAATAAAAACAAGAATATCATCAATATAGCGTGATACGTATTATTAGAGATAACACAAAAAGTACTTATTAGATCTCGTTCAAATTTAAATGGGACCACATGGCAAGTACCAGCTTTCGAATATAAAAACAATCATCAACATCGATACACCCAGTATAAAGTTATGAATGAGGTAACAAACACAAAAAAAAAAGAAAAAATACAGTCGAATTTCGAGAACCTCTTCCTTTTTTTTGAAGTCGGTTAAAAAGTAAAGTTTAGCGATATAAGCTGCACGAGGTCTATAATGCTTTTCATATATGATTTTTATTACTTAACCGAATAGTCGTTTGGGAAATTTTATTAATCATATTAATAAATTAAAATAATCATTATATACTGTTATCATTATCATTCATGTTACTCACATAAATAAAAAATACACACTTTTTGCTTACGCACACACGAATCTCAAATAATTTCACTATTGTCGTTGCGCTTTGAAGGGGGGCAGGATCTGAAGATTATAGACAAATGAAAAAAACCTATTTCTTGGGTAAGGCGGAGTACATACCTATATAAAACGAGGGAGGCAGGTTAAGGCGTGGACGGGGTGGGCCATCCACCACCAACGAACTCGCAGTGAAAAGGATGTCTAGCCTCAATCTTACTTTAATTATTTTAATAGGATATTTAATTTGGAGCAGTGGCAGTGGTTAGAGCAGTCGTCCGGATTGCGAAAGGTCATGGATTCGAATCCCATCTCAGTGGATTTTTTAAGCATTATTCATGAAGAATGTTTGAAAGCATTGTGAATGCAAAATTGATCAAATATAACAATTGGAACAAAATTTCATCTTTATCGAAAGTTCAAATATTTGTTACAATATTTCTTTCAGCTGTTTGGGTGGATTGCCTGAACATTGATGAGAATACGCTCTGAGTATCGAAAAAGAAATAAGTGCATGAAAGATTCGTCAGTCCTGTTAGGTCCTGAGTAGATACCTGCAGAGAGACCTGCCCTTTTTAGGGCGGGCCGAAATGGGGGCGAACCGCGCGGTGTGTGGCCTTCGGACTGATCCCGTGCATCGCCTTCCATGCGAGGGACATCGCTGAGTTTTAGTGGGTAAACTCCTGCTTCTTGTCTAGCCCCTTCGGGGGTGGGACTGCAGGAGTCCCCCGTGGGGCCCACGCTGGGTGAAACGGGTATGCGTAACGCATCTCTCAGCGACAAAAAAAAAGTCCTGGGTAGCTCAGTGGTTAAAGCAGTCGCCCTAACTGCGAAAGATCAAGTTCGAATCCCATCTCAGGGTGCCAGGGTGGATTTTTAAGCATTTTTCATCTATACTTATAATAAATCTGTAGAGAGGTCAATTATTTCCAAAATAACTATCAGGGAGTGATTAGGGATCGATACTGATGCCAAAAATGCATTCAGTATAATTTTTGTCTCTGTCTGTTTGTCTGTATAACCGTTATAGAAACAAAAACTACTCGACGGATTTTAATGAAACTTGGTACAATTATTTTTCATACTCCTGAGCTGGTTATAGTATACTTTTCATCACGCTACAATCAATAGGAGCAGAGCAGTGAAGGGAAATGTTGGGAAAACGGGAGAAATTACTCCATTTTTTAAGCTTCCGTCGCGTGTGCAACCTTAATGGTTAAAGCTACCCAGAAATCATGTATGACAGAAATGTTCTCCTTAAAATTATATAAAAAATATCCCATGCTATGTCTATCTTTTATGGTTGACTCACAATAACACGTGTAACTCCCGATAGCTTAGCAGTTCGAAGCTTTCTGATTGTATTTGTCTATTGTCTACTCTTACCTACGTTTATAACACTCTCAGTCATCGCTAATTAAAAAAGTTAACAGTTTTAAGTATTCCATAAAAAAGAATCATAGAAATCGGTATAGAAACACCAAAGTTATACATGAAATACGCTAATAATAAGCCATCGCGCGTGAATACTGAATCATGCTAGAAGGATTGTTCTGGCCAGTATTTCATCTATACTAATATTATAAAGCTGAAGAGTTTGTTTGTTTGAACGCGCTAATCTCAGGAACTACTGGTACGAATTGAAAAATTATTTTTGTGTTGAATAGACCATTTATTGAGGAAGGCTTTAGGCTATATAACATCACGCTGGACTATTGGGAGCGAAGAAAAAATGGAAAACGCGGACGAAGTCGCTGGCGGCCACTAGTTAAGAATATGATTAAAAATGTTTTGTGTCTATCCGTCAGACAGATTATTGAGAAATATGAAACTCTTATTTTTTAACGCAATCAAAAAGTTACGACGACGTGATGTCGCATGACGTCATGCTTTTGTACATTTTCCTCAAAGCTGTGACGTAGCGAGCGAGCAACTTTAATGTCGGTTATCTAAGCTATTTCTTGTTAAAATGAAGCAAGACAAATACGTATTTAATAATTTTTCTTTTAAAAAATGTGAATCATTTGAATATTGAATTGTTTTTGTTATTCAACTAGACAAGAAAGATAGATACTGCGAAAATTCGAGTGATTTTTTAATACGAGTTCCGACGCGGAAGTAACGCGGCGAAAAAAGCCCGCAAAATCAATGTTACATTTGGAGAGGGGTCTTCTAATGAACGCACCGTGCGATTTTGTTTAAATGCTTTCGATATGAAAACTTCGACTTAAAGAACGAGCCACGAGGAAGACCGCCACCCACACAGGTGAATAACGATGAATTAAGAGAGATGGTGGAAGCCGATCCTAGTCAAATGCCTAGGAATTAGCGGCATGGTTTACCTTACCCTGGTAGCTGGTAGAGGCTGTACAAAATGCTTTCACACAGTTTATGCAGTCTAGATCCTCAGAGTTCTATCGCAAAGGCATAAATGACCTTCCTATTAGATAGCAGCAATGTATAGATAATAATGGTAACTATTTTGATTAAATAAATTTGTTAAAAATTAAGCAATTTTGATATTCAGTACAAATCCGCAATTTCATACTTAAACCCCTATTATTATCATTTTTAGTTGATCTTTACATAGCACATGTATGACCTATCTGTATATAACTCTCCGCTTGACTGGTAATATATGCCTAAAGGCATTAAGTCCGCCATTTGAACAATTGTGTGTGCAAAAAAAGTGATGTGTTGATTTCTTTGTCTATTTGTAGTTTGCTATATTTATTTTCCGTTTTAGATTTCCCACACTCGTTTTAACCCATTTCTTCTCATGAAAAACATTTTAAGGATGAGACCTGAGTAAAAAAGTAGATATTGTCTTTAGTCTATCTTTCAAGATATAAAAATTATTAAATACGTATTTGTCTTGCTTCATTTTAACAAGAAATAGCTTAGATAACCGGCATTAAAGTTGCTCGCTCGCTACGTCACAGCTTTGTGGAAAATGTACAAAAGCATGACGTCATGCGACATCACGTCGTCGTAACTTATCGATTGCGTAAAAAAATAAGAGGTTCATATTTTTCAATAATCTGTCTGACGGATAGACACAAAACATTTTTAATCATAATCCTAATGAAAAATGCTTAAAAATCCACCCTGACACCCTGAGATGGGGTTTTGAACTTGATCTTTCGCAGTCTGGCTTTAATCACTGAGCTACCCAGGTCTTTTTTTTTTTCTCACTGAGAGATGCGTTACGAGTACCCGTTTCACCCAGCGTGGGCTCCATGTGAAAAAAGTTTCTTTCGAAATCCTCACACCATGAAGATTCTATGTCAATTCAAGGAACCTATTACAATAAAACGGCAATTTCATACTTTAACTCCTAATATAAAATCTGTTTCAAACATGATGTTAGACAAAAAGATTAATGTCTAACTGCAATATAATATTATCTATTATAATGATAGATAAATATGTATACACAGATAATTATATAAATACCTATACATTTTAACTTGAAAGAATTAACATGACAACTGAGGACCTATTCTATTTTTCCTCAAACAAATATTTAGTTAAAATATAGTTGTTCAAAGTGTTATACCTGTGAACAGTGAACAAGAAATATTATTATAATTACCTGTAAATGCAAGTACTGGCCAAGTATCTGGAGGATATATTTGTTTCCATCTATCCATCATCTTCTTATCATGTGAATCATAGTTTAATGGTCCATAAAATTCAGATTTAACAAAATTGATATCAAACTTATCCCAAAATGGTCCAAATGGATTGCCAGATTTTGCATTACAACTGTTTTTTTCTTCGCCAATTCTTTGTGTATAGCAAAAAGAGGTCCTTTTATTGGCAGGCCATACTAGTTGTGCTGTATCTTCCATAAATGATTCCATTGTAATAACTCTATGATATTGTGCTAATATATCAATGCTAAAATATGTGTTAAATGGAATTTGAAATGAACTTGGCTCTCCATATCTGTATTCAATCCAAGGGGGAAGTACTAAAGTTCTATTCAAGCCTTTACTAAAAGCTAACACACCTAAAAAATGATCTGCTTGGTTTCCAAATCGACCTGGAAAAAAACATTTTGTTAAATATCTATTTGTTAATAGCTTCTTTTTCCTACAAAATTAAAAAAAATCACATATTGGCTGTGAGAGAACCCTTAAAATATGAGGAAGTTATCTAATAATATTTTTTAAGCATTTCTTATTAAGATTATTTATTTGTTTAAAACCAGTTGAAAATTAGTGATTTGGGTGTATGTGCAAACTATTATTTTAATATTTATAGGTAATCAACAAAATTTATTTCTACTTATATTATTGTTTTTGTTGTAGATTTTTGTAATTCTGTGATGATTAATCTAGTTTTTTTATGTGCATATGAAAGTACTGCTTATTATACGAGATTGGCAGTTTTAAAACTTAAAAAAAAATATCAGTTTTGTAAATCTGCGGGAGTGACTTACAATGAATTCAAAGTTTGGAAATATTTTTTTTTAATAATGAGCAATTCACTAAGAAATTAGATATTTATCGTCCATAACAAAATATTAAATGTATGCTATAAAATTTGGAATAATAAATCCACTTTCTGGTATAACATTTAGGATTTTCACAAAACTTAAGCAAATGCAACACCAGATTTTCAGATAATAAAGGTGTTATCAAGGAAGATCACATAAAATGTTGAAGTTTGCAATGAGATCTACCTTAAATTGATAATATAAGAAATCTCATAACATGTTGGTATTGATTTTTTACTCAAAATAGTAAAGCTGTCTATAAAGTAAAGCTGTTAGAAATCTCCCAGATTTTTTATTGTCAGGACCATAAAAATATTATATGTACCCAAGAACAAAAAAGTTAAGGAAATTAGGAAACGGTTGGTATAATAGTATTAATTAGGTTTTTTATTTAAGTTTTGGCGCCAAATTAACTAAAAAATACTTACCCGCTGATGCAAGAATCAAGATTATCTAAACATCTTGCCCTGATGTAAACACAAACAAAAAAATGTTGAAACAATAGTTTAATATAGAAACAAACTTACCCATGCATGGACAGTATACTACATAACCACTTTTATCATAATTATCATCACACAAAATATTATTAACTAAAAAATATAATATTAATGAGTGATAAATCATTTTTCAATAAATAACGTCGACCGGCGCAACATTATATGTATATGATTATTATAGTATGTATTATGGATTATCCAATTATCTATAAACTACGATTATCTATGCTAGGGGGCGACAAACTCAGTTCCAGTGTTGCCATACTAGAGAGACCAAAAATCTGTACATCTTCGTATATTATATACCTATATGTATCCTGTATTATAATAGGATTTTATGACAAAATCTTCGTAACCACATAAAAGGATATTATATGCGTTCAATAAATCTTAAAAGCCATCATAAATCAAAAATGTACATTTTAATCCCCGACGAAAAGAGAGGAGTGTTATAAGTTTGACATGTCTGTGTGTGCGTCTGTTTGTGGCATTATAGCTCCCAAACGGATTTAGGTTTATTTTGTATTAAAGCTGCCATATGTGCGAGTATTCTTAGACATGTTTGACGAAAATCGGTTAAGACGTTTAAAGGTTGAGGGGGCTAAAAGTAGGGTAGTTAATCAAATGTCTGCATATGTACTCGGGTGGATTCTTAAATTAAAGCGCACTGAAAGAGAATATTGATGACTAAATAAGTAATATAAGTATGTAATGAATGGGTTACAAATTATGCCTAGAAAAAGAGCGAAAATTTGGGATATAAACGAATATTAATAACTTAGTTGTTTATAATTATTATAAAATTTAGGTTACACACATTTAATAAAAAGGCCTTCCTTAATTAGGTCTTAAGTTCTTAGCGGTAATTAATACGTAGTATTGTATATATATTGTTAAGTTCTTAGTGGTAATTAATAAGTAGTATTGTATTATATGTATTGTTGTAGTTGTCTTGTATCTGGTCCTCGTAATACTTCTATTTTCCTCAGGTATCCTTATTTTTAATGAGCTATCTATAATATATTTAATAAAGGTGGCTAAACCATACACAATATCGAGAAATCCAAATTCCGTACAAATATGGATAAATCCTGACATATGGTAGCACTGTTCCTTATGATTGACATTTACTTAACATTGACATGGTAACTAGGGATGTAGATATTATAAAAAGAATATCTTAGAATCGAAATGTTTCAATAATATATTTGATGTATCGATCCCTCTTTTAGTGTTTAAACAAATGGTGTCAAATAATTGGATGGCGCGGAATAAAAATCTAACAGATAGAATATTTCAGACTTAAATTTATCTGAGATTACATGGTTATGGGGATAGTCCTAGAATCTTGTAATCTCAGATAAATAGTGGACCGAATTTAAAGATCTTTTTTTAATTCAGTTTGAATTAAGACTTTAATTCAATTAAAACTTCGAGCCTAGTTAGGAGGGGAGACCAAAAGTGTAATTCTATGCTTTCAAGTGTCTGCCATTAAAACGATTGACTTTGAGAAAAAATATTATAAGAACGGTTTACGGCATATTTTTCTTTTTCAAAGGTGGACACTTATAGACTTGATAAAAAAGAAGAATAAATTTCTTTCATATATATGTAGGGATTTTCATAATTTTTTAATGTGCCACAAAAGTTAAAAAAACTACTATGCAGGTGGACAAACTTATATATCGAATCAATAAGAGTTTTAATTTTTACGGAAATGGAACCTTAAAATATCACATATGTTAGTAAAAACAAATGTCGGTTATTGAATAAACGAATTAATAAATTATATATCGATTATTAAAAACCAAACTAAATATCGATGTTGACTAATAAGATTATTATTGCCCAAGCCTACGCAGTCAAACTCACAGATATCATACTTGCGTTGAAATTGTTAGGCGTGTTTTTTTTAGTGGCGTAAAATAATTAAAATTAATTATTAAGTTAGTCCATTAGAAGGGTATTTTTGTGTATTTACATATATATATTTGTGTATATATTAGAATTAGTGCTTAGCTGCAGATATTAGGTAAGTTTTTTTAATTATTTTTATGAGCGAGCCCCCCGACGACCCGGGGGGATTCGTCCCCCCGGCAGGTAGCTATGTTACGGTTTGTTCCGAGTCAGGGATGGATACGGATGCATCTACATCGAATAGATCCACTTTAAAAAGGAGCCGTCGCTCCAATGTATGCAAAACCTGTAACAAAAAAAGAAGGCGGCATCACGGTTCTGAACCGAAACCAACAGATTGTTCTTGCACTGAAATTTCATCTGGTAACAATAATACTTTTCTAGACCTTCCTCCACCACCTAAATCTGTAATACAGGATTCAATCATCCCTCCTTCAGTAGCTAATTCATCAACTCCTATCGGTAGGAAAGCTTATTGCGAGTCAGATGTTTCACCTTTTATATTACATGTACAAAAAATAGTATTATCAGCAGATGACAAGACATCAATACATCCAGTTAAGTTCGGCAATTTTTTAAAAAATAATAAATTTCCAAATATTATCAACGGCAGTGTTAAGAAAATTGGCAGGAATAAAATTTCAATTAGTTTTACTAATTTTAAAGATGCAAACTCTTTTCTTAATGATAAAGCTCTTCAAGTAAATAATTACCGAGCATATATACCAACTTTTAATGTCACCCGAATGGGGTTAGTAAGAGGTGTTCCAGCTGAATGGTCACCTGAAGAGGTCATGGCTAATATTTCAGTACCTTTAGGATGTGGGGCTATAATGAAAGTCAGACGCATGAACTTCAAAACTTTTATTGATGGGAGCCCAACATGGAAACCTTCACAAACTGTAATTATTACTTTTGATGGACAGATACTTCCTAAGAGAGTGTACTTGTGTTATAATGCTTTAAATGTTGACCTATATATATACCCTACGATACAGTGTTATCATTGCTGTCGGTTTGGTCACACAAAGGTACAATGTAGATCTAAGCCCCGTTGTTACAAATGTGGCAAGGAACACACTGGGGAATCTTGTGGTACAGTTGAAGAGGATGCCTGTTGCTGTTTGTGTTCTGGCTTTCATTATGCCACTAGTAAAGTATGTCCAGAATTTATGAGACAAAAACAAATTAAAACTTTCATGGCTCAAAACTGTGTGTCTTATGCCGAGGCTTCCAAAGCTCACCCTCCAGCAGCTAAATCATATGCAGACATAGTAGCTTCTAAGCCTATTCCTCAATCGCCTTTGTATAATAATATTCACACATCTCAAAATAGTAGATCTTCCACTACATCATATAAGAAAACAGTGTTCTTAAACCCTCGTAATATAAATAATTCTCATACCAATATGGGTTACAATAAAGAAGCACATAATGCTATCATAAATGACTTTAGAATCCCTACACCTGCTAATGGATGTGCTATACAAAAGCCTTCTCAAGATCAAGACAATCAATCTCATATTGAGTTAATAACAGCTTTATTTAATGTATTAGCTAAGTATAATTTTATTTCACCGTCCAACGTTGCCTCTTTGTTTGAAAATTTAATGTTAACAATTAATAATGGATCTACGCAATATAATACAGTGGAACACTCAGAGTATTATAAATAAAAGAAGTGAACTTATATATTTGACCAACACATACAAGCCATTTGTTTTTGCTTTGTCAGAGACTTGGCTTAAACCACAAAAAAACTTTTATTTTGCTGGTTACAACATAGTTCGAGATGATAGACTAGGTACAGATGGTGGTGGAACAGCTATACTTATCAGAAATACAATTCCCTTTTTAAGTGTAACTCTTCCACCTCACTCTGATGATATATCAATTGTAGCTATAAGTTTTAATAATTTTTGTTTGGTATCATTGTACATAGCTCACCCTTCACCTTACATTTTAAGTGAACTTGATTTTTTGTTTTCTAATCTGCCCAAGCCATTTATAGTTCTTGGTGATTTTAATTGTCACCATACAGTCTGGGGAAGCTTTCAGTGTAATGCTCTGGGTCGAGAATTGGTAGATATTATTGACTCGCATAATTTATGTTTACTTAACACAGGCAGTCCCACACGTCAAACTGGACCAAATCAAAATCCCAGCGCTGTTGATTTATCTATTTGTTCTCCAAGCCTGGCCTCTGCTCTATCTTGGGAAACTCTTCCTTATACTTATGGTAGTGACCATTATCCAATAATTATTGAATTTCCTTGTAAGCAACAAATAATTCCACAAAAGATATCCCTTAGAAAATATAAATACACTAAAAATAATAAGGTTTGGGATTCCTTTAAAGAAAAGATTGAGGCTAAGCTATGTCTTCTACCCTCTGTTAACAGTGACAATAATCTAATATGTGCTCAATCTTTGGCCCACTTAATAACAGAGATTGCTAATGAAACATTTCCTGTGAAAAATACTTTAGAAAAAATTCCATCTCCTCCATGGTGGGACAGTGAATGCACTCTTGCTGTAAGGAAAAGGAAACAAGCGGAAAAAGAATATAATAAAAACATGTCAGATACTAACTTTGAACATTTTTGTAAACTTAAATTAGAAACTAAAAAATTATTCAAGAAAAAGAAATTTGAAGGTTGGAAAAATTTCTGTTCATCTATTTCACCTAACGTCAATCCAACAATAGTATGGAACAATATAAAGCGTTTTAGATGTGCTTTCAACAAAACTTCTTTTTCAGTTCTTCCCCAATCCTTAGCATATAGCTTCCTTGATAGATTAGCCCCCCCGTGGGTCCCAGAGAATAATAAGACTTTATCGACACAAAGTACGCATTACTTAGAAAGACCATTTACTCTATATGAATTAAAAGGTATAATCAATAATGTCAAAGACTCCTGCCCAGGAGAAGATGGAATTCCTTATTGCTTTTTTTCAAAACTTACTGATAACACACTTTCTTATTATTTAGATGTCATTAACAGTTTTTTGATAACAGGAAACGTTCCAATATCTTGGAAATCCCAGGTGATATTGCCAGTGCTAAAACCTCATAAATCACGAAATGTTGCAAGCAATTATCGCCCCATTGCCCTATCTAATGTTTTGGTTAAATTGGCTGAACATTTAATTAAAAACCGCCTGGAGTGGTTTGTTGAAAACATACAAGTTCTTTCTAAATCGCAATATGGTTTTCGGAAAAGTAAAGGCACCATCGATAATATTAGTATTTTTAATACAGATGTAAGAT